GCATATATAATCTCACTGCCATTTCATACATAAACTAAATGGGGAAGCATTCAGTTTCCTCATGCAGCTTAAGCCGGGACATTTGACAGCGGGGGAAAACAAGTCTGTTTCTTTGCATTTTATGTTAGCTCCAAAGATAATTATAATATAAGCTTGCAGAGTCAAGTAAAATACACGCCGATGTGGAGTGGGAGATTGCTAATGATGCAAATTAGTGGTTTTGTAAAACATTAGCACAGCCTCAAATAGATTTATTTGCGTAACGATTAATTAGAAAAGGATGAAGAACACAAACTTTCCTGGTGGTCACAGTACTATTCGGATAGCGTTCATAAGACAAGGTTATTCTCTGGACATCGCGGAAATTATGTTTATTGGGCATATTAGGTTTATTTGAACCATCATTTAATATTTCTTGATTTGATTCTATGATTTCACATTTCAACTTATGAACTCATAAGACAAGGTTATTCTCTGGACATCGCGGAAATTATGTTTATTGGGCATATTAGGTTTATTTGAACCATCATTTAATATTTCTTGATTTGATTCTATGATTTCACATTTCAACTTATGAACGCATAAGACAAGGTTATTCTCTGGACGTCGCGGATATTATGATTATTGGGCATATTAGGTTTATTTGAACCATCATTTAATATTTCTTGATTTGATTCTATGATTTCACATTTCAATAAGAAAAATCAATTTAGCACAAATGACAGCACAAAAACGGCTATGTCTTTATTAAGATAAATTCAGAAATTATGAACACTATTCTTTTCAAATGATTTAGGCGAAGATATTTATAAATTTCGTAACCTGTCACCAAAATATAGTGTCACGGGTACTACTGAGGGTGCACAATTATTTAAAGAAGAAGGTTGGACCCAAGTGATAGCATTTTATAAAACTGTTCTTTAAATAATAACTCTTTGGCCCTATTCATTGTTCATAGCATATTTATTTTATTTATAATCAAGTCAAATGTAATTTTAAATATCACTGATCAAATTAAGTCTTCAACTATAAATGGAGCTCACCAGTTCGTTATAATAAAGTCAGATATATGATAGACAGATGATAGACCTTTAATATGTCCAGCCAAAAACCTTGTAATATTATTTAAATGTTTCAGCACTGAAGAGGCAATGGGAATGGGTTTTACATTTTATTATTAATATTATTATTTAGTTCATAGAATTCGCGTCGCTGTATCTTTGCAAAGCTACCAAACAGCGGAATAGACACCATCACGGCACGGTACATGCTGCTACTTTAGCTGCTAATAAGCCCGAAGTTAGTATAGAGCTCATGAAGAAAACTGCTGATTGGACAAGTGCGAGGTTATACAGCAGAGAAGTATCCAAAAACAACCCAAAATTTTTTGCTCGCTCTCTTTACAAATTAATTTCGATCTTGCCATATTTAAACAGATCGCAATGCTATTAAAAAATGCTATTTTGACTCGATCTTATCTTGGTCACAGATAAATATCATCATATAGGAACTGACCCTTAACCAATCGGGTCGGTCATGGTAAAAAGGTGACAAAGCGGATATTTAGGGAAATGTGATATAGTAAGGGTCCCAAAGGTTTTATTATTAAGAATACTGCTGGAGCATAAGATAATAGAAACCATAGTAAAAACTGGAATACCAACGCCATCTACATTTTTTGTATAGTTTATTCAAAGCCAGCATAATATGTGTATAAATTTTATAACTTGCAGAGTCATTGCTGGAATCATTGGAGGTGAAACAATTAAACGTTTTTTAATTCTCATCATTTTTATAAATATTCATCATACAGACTATGTCTACTATGTGCGTCAGGATGGCGGATCACAAATCGTATTTAAAGCTGATATGATGGCAAATTTGCTTCAAAAAATTTTGTTTCAGGATATAAGCACTACTAGGTCATTCACTTCACCACACATATCCAACTGAACTAAATTAGAAAAAGTTTATATTACTGCGGGATTATAAAATGAAACTACCTAATGTATCCACAAATTATAATACTACTGGCCCGCCCTCGCTTCGCTTCGGTGTAGAGCTGAAGTGTAGACTATAGTTTTTATTCTCAGGCTTGTATTATACACAATGATATTCTTCTTATACCTAATTATAAATTGTCCCTGCATTTTAAAATCTGTAATATCTTCGAAAATATTCATTTAAATTACATGTTTTAAAAAGCCTAATTGATCTGTATTAAATACACAATGTATTTAAGGTACTTAATTGGTTAAGGATGAATGTTATATTGCTGAAAATCGCTTCTTAAATAAGCTATTATTTCTCCTAAAAAGTATAGAATTAAAAACGGTTTATGTGGGATATCCTTAAGAGATAGATATATAACATCCAGGACTTTTTTCTAGACCTTTTTAAGCTGTACAATACTGTAGTACATTATTTTGGTCTATCTCGTAGGGTTCAGCCCGCGTTTGTAATGTAAGCGCAAAAAATGAGTTTATTTACGACCTTACATTAGAAACCTCTAAAATTATCAGTGTTTCTCTACTATATTATGCATTTATTATACATATAACCTTCCTCTTGAATCACTCTATCTATTAAAAAAACCGCATCAAAATCCGTTGATTAGCTATAAAGATCTAAGCATACATAGGGACAGACAGCGGGAAGCGACTTTGCTTTATACTATGTAGTGATTTCTCTGTATTGTCATAGACATCATATATTACTGAGGAAAACGACGATTAAAGTATCATAATCCAATACGATAAGTTGTCGGTGTGTGAAATTTCCTCCAAATCGTTTAGTGTATTACACTTATGTGTAATTGAGTAGATAAACGACTAAACAATTTGTAGTATTAGTAAGATAAGTAGTTTGTATTGATACACGGTTATAGGACTTTGATTCTGCTTAAAGGTTACAAGATCTAATACAAATTGGCGATGAAATAATTTATGGATAACGTAAAATCTAGTTTTCCGAGTATCCGATACTTTAAAAAGTTTTTGTCCAAGTTCCAAAGGACCCGAAGTGTCGATCCTCAAACAGCTCAATGAAATAAGCATTATCTGAACCAAACATTTTTGAGCCCAAGGGGCTTTCAACAGAAGCCAAAGTAGGACAGGTTTAAACAATATTCTTGGAAAACTTAGCAACACCAGGATTAGTTGTGTCCCGCATTACATACCAATCTACAATTTTTTTTCGGAACGCCTCATTAATCTATACTTACTTATTTACTTATACTTATTACTTATTTACTAATCTTAATATATATAAATCTCGTGTCACAATGTTTGTCCTCAATGGACTCCTAAACTACTGAACCGATTATAATAAAATTCGCACACCATGTGCAGTTCGATCCAACTTGAGAGATAGGATAGTTTAAATCTCAAATTATAGTCGCAATTTTAATTTATTGCAAATTATTACTTTTGGGCGGTACGAAGTTCGCCGAGTCAGCTATAATTTTATAAAGAGGAAAGATTTGTATGAAAGTATGTTTGTAACGAATTGGCTCAAAAAGTACTGGACCGATTTTAAAAATTCTTTCACCATTTGGTTGCTACATTATCACTTTTTCACATTAGTATTTTCAAAAAAAAACTCCGTGTATATAATTCGATAATGTAACACAACGTGTGAAAAAATAACCAAATATAGCCTTAAATCGTGTAGGCTGCGGAAGTCATTGACAATAGAGCAAAGTGTTGTACTAAAGTTTTATAGAGGATACCAATATCTACAAAAAAGTCCGCGATACCATATGTCTGACTATTACAGTTATGTCACAACTAGAGGCGTTAATTAGAAGAAAAAGTTTAGTATAAGAGTCAAACTTAAAATATTTACATAGGCTGTCGTGGACTTTTTTACAGAACTTTTAAAGGGGAAGAATTCCGTCATACATGATTTTTGTGTAACTTTAACCGTTTACCTAGCACACGCAACGGAATCTCACAAATAGAATATTTTTACCCGTTTTTGCAATATTTTTCATCGATGCTCCACTGCTATAGGTCGTAACCTGGTAATATAATTATAGTCTACCTATAGCCTTCCTCGAAAAATGCACTGTCCAATACAAAAAGATTTTTTAAAATCGGAACAGCAGAGCAATGTTGCATTCGGTACAACGGGTCCTAAACTACGCAACGAATTTTTTACTTGGAATGGAAGGTTTATAATTATTATGAAGAAGGTTATTGTGAATAATACAAGCTTTTGAACAAAAACTGTAGTCTACACTACAGCTCTACACCGAAGCAAAGCGAGGGCGGGCCACTAGTATGGAATAAAATAAATATAGTATTTTTATTAAATTAACCTGTTGGAAAATTAGTAAAATTACTTTTTAAACAATAACTAAGCAATCTGTATATACATAACACCCTTTTATAGAGACGATGAACCAAAGCTACTATAGCTAGAATATCCTTACAAACCATTATTTTTTGTTCTATTAAGAAATACAAAAATACAATAACCAAACACATAGTAACATTATGTGTTAATAATTGTTTGTATCCGGTTTTATGAAAATTATTTCTATCGTTACTTTATTTGTAAAGATTACATTAAATCAGATAATTACTAGCAAGGTATAACAGTTAAGTAACATAAACCGTATGTGTGATGTGATAGACTAAGTTATTAACGGAGTATATACTGAGTTCTGGGCTCATTCATAAAATAAAGTACCCAATAAATAAAACAGTCACGTGTTAGAGAGAGGCTGCAGTTATCAGCGCACACTCAAGATACTTAAGTCAGCAGTGATTTCTAGCCGTAATTTTTCAAAATATGTAATTTATAAAACCATATGAATTCCAAATATATCATCAGCAGTTTCTCGCCTGATAAAAATAAAATCTTTGACACACCAGTGCAAAATAGTTTTTAAGATTTGTAGGTAAGTATGTAAAGAAGATAAGAAGATTTTTTAACAAACTTGTTTCGCGTTCTCCGTAAAATAGTGTATGAACAATTGTGAAAAAAATCCTTGCCTGCGAATCTGATATCTTAATGCATGTTCCTCGTTTCCACAGGGATTGAGTATCACGAAACCTCGCACATAGATCCAGCACAGGAACGGTACGGAACGTATTGCACTCACACTGAGCTCATATACGGAACGGGCGAGAGACGAGCGTCGTCGAGCCGGGCGAGCGCTGCAGTGCGCGAGTGCGGCGCGTCACGCGACGACGGCGGCGGCGGCGGCGGCGGCGGCGGCGACTGGTGCGGCGGGTGCGGCGGCGGCGGCGGCGGCGGCGTCGGGCATCGCTCGACCACGACCGACTGTGGCGGGGGCGCGCCGGCTACTGCCGCCGCCGCTCCGGCCGCGCCGACGAGAGCCTTCTCTCCGAGAGACATGAGTGACCTGCTTCAACTAGAAACGAGTGGCATATCTTCCATTCTTCCACACTGCCTTTCAGACAGCGATTGAACCGCCTATCGCTGTGCGAGTCTGCACTCTTCCCCTGTGGCAATGGAGAAGAAGAGAGAGATCATGCACTATGGGACTGCTCACTTAATGAGGTCGCTCGGTACAAAATGCTGGGGAAGATAAAGATCACAGAACCCGGACCGATCTTTCATGGGAACCTCGTCAGCTGCAGAAGTAACTGGGATGCATTCTGCGAGTATGCCCATTCTTGGCACTCCATCCGTGTCACATACGAGTAGGACCGAAGACCATGAAGATGCCCGACGCGAAGTGCTGTGCTGTGACGTCTAGCCCCAGAAGGGTGAGAGTAGGAAAAAGAAAAGGGACGGAAACAGAATTTGTAGGGAGTCAAGACAAGCGCAGGCGGGGAAAGAGCCACTGTCAAGTACCCCCGCGCTCTCCCAAGATTCGGTCCGTATACCATGATTGGTAGGAAGGACCATGGGTTGGTGGAGGGTTTGCCCCAGAAGCGGTTTCGATGTTTCGATAAGGTCATTGGAATTTCTCGGCAGACATGAAACGATTTTTGGAGTTTCACAGAATATGAAGCTAAGATTAATATTAGAGCAGTATAAGAAGAGATTGATGATACTCAAAAGATATGTATCAACGTTGAATGAGTGATAGAAGTTGCGCAGGTCTAGAGTTCCCCCGCGCTGCCCGCGGCGCACGCACGCGGCGGCCGGCGACGCGCGGAGGGCGCGCCCGACATTCTTTCGCACAACTTCAGCGGACCTGACTCGTTGTCGCTGGTAGTTTTCACAAACTACGATGCGTACGACACATACGGAAATGCACATGCACGCTACGATAGACACCGATCAGTGTGCGTGGCAAAAACGGATTACCGTCGTTCCTGAATATTTTTTAATCGTAATCTGTCCTAATTTAGTAGAAAATTGGCAGATGAATTGGCAGAAATGAATAAACATGAAATTACTACAGCCCTCCATGAATTATAAATAAATAAATATAAACATTTCCAACACACACACCAATTATCCTAGCCCCAAAGTAAGCACTATAAGGCTTGTGTTATGGGATACTAGGATAACGGATAGAATACATATATTATACATATATAAGTATATTTATATAGAAATACATATTAAACATCCATGACTGGAGAACAAATGCACGTATTTATCACACAAACATCTGCCCCCACCGGGATTCTAACCCGGGACCTCTCGAGTCGGGGACACCATGAAACCCGGCGTACAAACCACTCGGCCACGGAGGTCGTCGATATTATGAATTTATCCTTTACCTTAATATGAAACTATCATAGTTATAATTTAAATTTTTAAAGCATGTAACTGCTTGATGTTTAAATCTAAAGAAAATGTAACTAGAAAAAATTCCACGCGGACCAGGCAGCAGACGGGACTCGAACCCGCACCCTTTTTCTAGTTACATTTCGTTATGAAACTATCATCTAAATAAAAGACCAAATCAAACGTAATAATATCCTTCGAAATGGAGCACTTATGGCGAATGTTCACAGTCTTACAAAGGTGGATAATGAAAGCGATTTCGTGGGAGTTGAAGCACAAAGTGTTGTTGTTGAGCATGATTTCATCTTCACAAATTGTATATTCTCCGAGAAATGTATTCCGATAATAACACGAATATTCGTGAGTTTAGTTAAAAGCGTTGCATTACATGACTACTACATACCAATATTTTTTTTTAGGTTTTAGTTTATTATAACTGACGTTTTAATATCAATTCCATGATGTAAATACCAAAAAAAAACTAATAAGAAAAAAAATTGTGTGTGTCAGCTCCGACGCACGACTGGAGTCTACTTCTTAAGTTCGATAGTCTAACCAGACGCAAAAAGAGTTTATTTAACTTAAAAAATATTGATACTGTATGAAAGGGTAAATTAACAAATTAATGAAAATAATATACATATGTAAATATATATTTATTCATTTCATATACATTTATTATAACTAATCGACGAAATATTTTACATTAAACTTTTTACAATAGTCAATTTCAGATGTGCATAAATAAAGGTACGCTACGATACTGTGCTACGGTGTAGCACTACGGCTGCTACAGCGTAGACAGTAAAAACGTAACGAGGTCATTCATCGATAGATTTCACTCCTCACATTTTTCTCATACCGGGCCCCTTATATATGCAAATCGATTCTTAAGGAGTAAACTCCAAAAATATTTTTTTATATAAATATTTTAAATAAGTGGTTTGCCTTTCCAAATTGGAAATAAGCCTTTTGAAGACTACGTAAAATTCCAAAAAGTATAATTACAGTAAGTTAACGTTTTTTTAACGTCAGTAAAAAAGCTGGAGTATAAACAGCTAGCGGTCCCAAAGGGATACCTTTTGTGGGCATTGAAACCTCTCGTGTTGGTAATGATTTCATTCATGCATGTATAATAGTAATTAGGGAAAGTAACGGGGCTAATATTGATCCCTTAATACACTGTTCATTATAAAGATTTTAGAAGACTCAACGGTGTAATAAGGGATGGACACGATGATAACTCAATTAGAATTAACACTCTTGATAATTTTATTGCTTGCCTTATTACTAGGTCAGCTGCTGATTAAGTTTCATTTGAAGTTGCTTTTTACAGTTTGTTGCAAATTTCCAATTTTCTAATATGAGGGTTTATTTTTAGGGTCAATTCTTAATTTAAATTGTAGTTATTTATAAGTTTAACCCTTAATTCGACGGGATTTTTTTTACTTTGAAGGACAATGTAAAGTTTTGTATGAGCGACTGCCCTGGCAATGTATAAATACGGTACTTAGTAAAATGTAATGGTAAATGGCTAAGTATTTATAATTTCTATGAAAAAAGGCTCAGGAACTTTTGATGAAGTCACAATCTTGAAAATTATGAGAACTTCTCTTACTAAAGTTGATAAAAGATGTTGCCAGTTATTTACAGAGTGATCAATTTCGTATTTTCTTAGAATCTTTCTTCCCATTTCTGTGATTAACTCTTCACAAAGAGTTTTAAAGCAAAAATAAATACAAATAATTTGTTAGCGTCGGCCTGACAGGAAATCTGTGAAGTTTTGTTTTGTCCATTTGCAAAAATTAAAGGATTAATTATCATACAGCCTTGTCTCAAGCCTGATCACAATAATACAATCTATTATTTTAGGCCTTCCGTGATTTGTTGTAACAAAAACTATGTCATATTTTGAAGGAGTTTAGAAATAATATTGTTTATTTCGATATACTTACACAGATATTTTTTGTGTAGATTTATTGTTCATTTATTTTGTAAAACGGATCATTTTGCTTTTGAAACAGACATGGAAGTCAATTTTTTATACTTTTAAATATTTGATTATTTCACGAAATTTGTATGAGAATAATAAACACATAATAACATAAACATAATAATTAATAAAAAAAATATTATAAAGTTACGGGCTAGTGCGAAATATTTATACACGGTAAGGGCGGTTTCTTAGCCATGTCTTTTGTAAACTCTTTACAGATTTTGGTTCTAAGCTTGTGGGGGACCCTAGAAAAAATACCTGAAAAAATCTACATATTTCAGTTTCCTGTAAAACCTTCGTCCATTATACTGGACATTATCTATTACATAAGTAATTGATGCACTCCAACCATGTGTAGTATACTTCCCACTGTCAAAGAAAAAGAACAACAGAAATAAGTGATTCCGTAGGAAAATACTCATTATATTTAAAAAATCAATCTCATAGTTACATTGGCTTCCGCTTAAAACTCTAATAGGAACTCTGTAAACGTAAAAACACACATAAGTTTTGAAGATAATAATTAAGCGTCATTAAATTTTCATAATAGTCAACATTTAGCTTATTTGAAAACAATCAGCCTTTTAGTTCTTAAGTATATATCAAAAATATCAATGTAAATTAATCAATATCAACTGTTACTTGCTTTTTGATTGCCCGCCTACTTACCGTGGGCAATTTTTTTTGGTCACTAATAACAGCCTTTGCTTGCATTTGGAACAATGCATGTTCGTTTTATTGTTCTTGCAGAACTTGCTACGTCCATAAGCTGTATATTCAAGACAGTAGTTGTAGCCGTCATAACGCACAGAAAGTGGGGGTCTTGGTGCACTTCGGTTTTATATCAGCGCTTTTTTCGGGACAGGGCTTGGTGGTTCCGTCTCAATTGACCTTCCTTTTTACTTCAATTCGACTGCCAACCTCTGTCTAAACTTTTTTAGACTTATATTTTTCAGGCTCCTCGTGATGCATTTCCTCCTGTAAAGTAGCCAAGCATTAACTGAGATATCCCACCCATCCCCACCTTATCTTAAGCAGTGTTGCTCATTTCTATCCTCTTCTTCACAGCTCTTGCTGAGATCCTCTTCTACCCTACTTCTTGAGATTCTCTGTCACTCTTCTGACTTCTTTTCTTACACACGCTGCTCGACTTTAGCGATCAAGTTAATAGCTATTTTCTTTCTTTATCTTAAATTCATTTAATATCCTATTTCTTTGCTTCTCTTATATTTATGTAAGTATAGTTCCTGTATCTACTTTTGCACCCTTCTATATTTCTCTATTATTATTCCTTTTCTACCATAGGTTGCCTGGAAGAGATTGCTGTTTAGCAATAAGGGCGCCTATTGTACTCTTTCTTCTGTTTTATTTGTTTTTGTCTTGTGTCCTTTGTTGTGTGCAATAAAGAATATTTATTATTATTATTATATCTTACATTTGGCCAAAAATGTTCATGTATCAAAGACGGCCCATGAAAGATGTTCTGTAGAGAGCTAACAACATGTCGCATAAATCAACACCTCCCAAATGTTGATTGTAGTGTCGAAGTAACTGCACACACGTAACACCAATTTTATTTTTCTGTTCTTTGCTCTTTCTCTTGATTTCTTGAACTGGGTAAGCATCTGTATAAAAACAAGCCAAAATTACAACTTTATTGTCGTACCATTTGACTACTTCGTTTTTTATATCATTGCAAGGCAGTTTCTTCTTATTTTTTCAAAGAATGGTCCTCATCTAAAATTACGTTGTCTACAAAGTCAATATTACGTTGAATATTTTCGAATCGTTTCAATGGTATAACGTCAGCCACTTGTGCATACTAGATTCCGTAGTCCAATAGTCTAGATAAGAAGGCATTTTTACTATACCCATGATAAGAAGAATCATGAGAAAGTCTTTCAACTAATCGATGGTTAAGTGTTTACTTTTGCCAGTTCATTAGGTTGAGTACAAGTTGGTGTTGTTGACGATATCAACGAGTATATCTGGGGAAAAGAATCTATAAAAAAGTCTAACGGGAAGTCAGTATCCGGTTAATCAAACTCGAAGTCGTTTGATGGAATGTCCGCCTGTGTCTGAATTGTACTTTCTTCCATTTACTGTTTTCTTGGTCTTTTTCGCCCGGTAATTTGGCACAGCTGGTAATAGTAGTTTTCTCATATGCCTGGTAGTTCTTGATGCTGATGGAATAGCAATAGACGAAGCATTTGATGACGTAACCGACAATAATAAAGCCAAACTTGGTAAACCATCATAATTCACTTCACCTGTCGGTAGTAGCACATTGTTAATAACAGGAATCAATGGAGGCCGCGCGTGGTTCAAGTTGTCTTCGACTTCTAACACAGGGTTGTTCTCACTGCCATTGACGCTAGGAAGGTCCTCTATCTGGAGATTTTTGTTTACTGTTTCCATAAAACAATCAGTCTATTGAAGTATCTTATGTATAATTTTATGAACTTTGGAATATATTCATACGCTCTATGTACGAATTGATAAAAGGACAGGGTGAGGAAGAAACCTCTTAATTTCTAAGACCAGCAATTTCCTCTTCATTCTCATTTTCCAAACCACTATCTACATCCGAAGGAATATTTTCAGGGGGCACCAATGCTACTAAGCGGTGCCTAGACTTGAAGTTCTAAAAACGAGAATACTGAAGTGTAAAACATTATAACTGCGGATCCCTAAAAATAATATTACGCGTAACACAAAAAATAATTTTCTAATAATACGGCAACGAGAAGAATACTAAACATACGGTTTTGTGTTTAGTTTTTTATTACTTTGACAAGGGGGAGAATACTGGACATAGTATTTAGCAGTTACTTTACTAGAGATTCGATGACGGGGTCATTAAAACTAAACAAAACTAAGTACGATAGTCGAAAGATTTTTAGTAGCTTTCCGGGTGTGTTATCTTTGGTTTTTAATGAAATTACGAAGAAATTAGCCGTAAAACAATGAATAAAATGCAACTTACTGAAAGCCCGCGCAGTGAGTTCTTCCTCCTCGCCATTTCACCGGCGACTGCTCGCGGTCGGTAGATGTAAGCGAGTTGCAATTTTTTAAAAACGTAGTTAGATACTTAGGGTGCAATTAAAGCATCTAGAGTTTTAGATATATGGTCTTTTTTTATGTATATTTTTTCATTCAACGGGAAGTATACTGCACCTCGTCGAATTAAGGATTAAGACACTTTTTTATATGTTTTTAGGGGCACCTAAAAAAAAGGAATGCTAATGCACTTTTCATTTAGATGGACCGGTCAACATCTTCGATTCAGTCATGGCAAAATTTGGTGCCGTTGAGGTAAGGATGATCTTTACACATCTTTACACACAAGCTGGACCTACCATGTATGCCAACCCTGCAAGGCATAAATTTATAATGGCATAATGGTATGTATGTATTATTATTATTAATGAAAAACACAATTATGTAAATAATAAAGATGTCCTTAAGCGCTCAACTTCCCAATTTTAAATTAATGAAACTAGTTACTTTACTAGAGATTCGATGACGGGGTCATTAAAACTAAACAAAACTAAGTACGATAGTCGAAAGATTTTTAGTAGCTTTCCGGGTGTGTTATCTTTGGTTTTTAATGAAATTACGAAGAAATTAGCCGTAAAACAATGAATAAAATGCAACTTACTGAAAGCCCGCGCAGTGAGTTCTTCCTCCTCGCCATTTCACCGGCGACTGCTCGCGGTCGGTAGATGTAAGCGAGTTGCAATTTTTTAAAAACGTAGTTAGATACTTAGGGTGCAATTAAAGCATCTAGAGTTTTAGATATATGGTCTTTTTTTATGTATTTTTTTTCATTCAACGGGAAGTATACTGCACCTCGTCGAATTAAGGATTAAGACACTTTTTTATATGTTTTTAGGGGCACCTAAAAAAAAGGAATGCTAATGCACTTTTCATTTAGAAGGACCGGTCAATATCTTCGAATCAGTCATGGCAAAATTTGGTGCCGTTGAGGTAAGGATGATCTTTACACATGTTTACACACAAGCTGGACCTACCATGTATGCCAACCCTGCAAGGCATAAATTTATAATGGCGTAATGGTATGTATGTATTATTATTATTAATGAAAAACACAATTATGTAAATAATAAAGATGTCCTTAAGCGCTCAACTTCCCAATTTTAAATTAATGAAACTAGTCTCATCGCTTAACTATATTGTAGATAATTTATTAGCAGGAGGTCGCGGCACCAAGTCGGAGTCAGCGGGAGGTAATTTCCTCACGCTGAGTCAATTAAAACTTGCAACTGATCGCCCACGGCGCTTCCTGCGACCTCGCGCCTAGCACTTCCTGACCCCGACACTTCTCACCGCATTGCCGATACTTATACGACGAGCGAATAATCAAAGATAAGAAGAGAGTCTAGGAGAATTCGCTATATTGAAATAGTTAAGGCTCAGGCGAGGAATCAGCGCAGTAATGAAATCCTCGTGAACAATGCGCGGGCGAATCAATTTGGTGAGTTATTGGCCGCGGCACCCTCAGATCGCTCGGAGGCCTGAGGCATTGTCTTCATGCCTATTGTTCCTCTCTGAGTGCCCGCTGTGATGTCCGCCAGATGTTTTGAAGGGAATTAGTTGCTAGCTCTCACCGGTACTTACCAGTTATTGAGAGGACGAACCACCGTTCAAAGAATAACTGAACTTCTACAATAAGAATCAAGTTTAGCTGTAAATGCTAACAATAGGTTAGTTTACTCATGTCAAATTGCACTATACAAATGTTCATTTCTTTTAATTTTTGGTATGAGGAACCTAAATACATCGATTTCACTTCATAAAATTAGAAGATGGCTGTAGTAATTTAATTTGAAAAATAGTTTTTTAGTCTATACTTTTTAAACACTAAAAACGCTATCAACCATGATTGTGACGTCAACATAATAGCAAAACAACTAAACGTCATTGTCGTGTTACTGTGGTTTCTTTCATCCGACTAAAATATATCTAAAAACTCTTAAATCTTAAAGAAAAGTTTCCGTTTATTGGTTTTCTTGACTAAATTAATGCTGAACGCCGGATTTGTGAAAGCAGAAACGACAAAACTCTTTGACTTAGCAGGTACATTCATAATCTTAAAAATTGAAACCACAACATTTCTGGAGTTTTCAACGATGTGTTTCTTTATTCTCGTATAATACAATCATGATAATTACTATATTTATCATGAAATCTATTAGAAATCATGGTTTTGTAATGTAAATTCAGATAGGTTATATCCTACGTGCTTGTGAATGTTTGTTTACTATTGTTCCCGCCATACCATAGATAATATATAGACTAAAATGAAATCTATTTTAAAATTAAAGTTTTGTAGCTTTGTAAGTAAAAAAAATTACAATACATTTTTTTTTGTCTAATTGAACAATTATTAACCATTTAAAACATATTTCCAAAAAGTGTCAACTAGCCTATTGTAGTGTGTATGATAAAATAATTAATGAGGCAGACTTGAAATAGTAACGTGTCTTATTGGTGCAGTCTGATAAGCGATCTAACATAGAAAGTTACCAATATAATAGACTTAGTGTTGGCATAAGTGTAACACACTTTTTCTTTATTCTTATTATATACCTTTTTCCACTTTATTCCCTCTTCGAATAACAATACATTTAAATACTAAATCTTAATTTAAATAAACATCTAAGATGAACAATAATCTATTAGATAAATTAATATGATATAATTAAAATTCTAAAGATACTCTAAAGTCTAGACGATCTGTCAATCTATATATATAAAACTCAAAGGTGACTGACTGACATAGTGATCTATCAACGCACAGCCCAAACCACTGGACGGATCGGGCTTAAATTTGGCATGCAGGTAGATGTTATGACGTAGGCATTCGCTAAGAAAGGATTTTGTTCAATTCTACCCCCAAGGGGATAAAATAGGGAATGAAAGTTTGTATGAAACTTTGTCAATTTTAAACCGATCGGCCTGAGACTTTGCATGCAGGTATAAGAAGAATCATAGATGAATGTCATTATGTATAATACAAGCCTGAGAATAAAAACTGTAGTCTGCACTTCAGCTCTACACCGAAACGAAGCGAGGGCGGGCCGCTAGTACTGCATAAGATTATTAATGGACAGTTATTACTTAAAACTAGTGGTAGTAAAAGAAAACCTAAACCTTTTCTCTGTGCCCGGTTGCAGCAACAATGTTACTTTTAATGATGCACTGTTTAGAATGTGTCGAATTTTTAATGATAGGGTAAAAGATTTGGATGTGTTTTTACAAAGTTTAAGGTCTTTTATTAAAGCTATAAAAAAAGTTTCATTGTAATTTTCTAAATGTTTAACTTGATCCTGATTGTAATTAAGTTTAAATGGATTCATTAAATACAAAATCAATGCACATAATAATAATAATAAATGTAAGTTTGATTCCATATTCTAGTTAAACGTTGCGTGCAACATTTACTAGGATTACATTTTATTGTGAAACTTAATTTAAGATATTATGTAAATTTATTAAATTGTTTTCTGTAGTTGCACCTTTCAATAAATAAATAAATTGTATTGTGTAAAGGAAATATTGGCTAATGTTGGTTAGAGTGAAAGTATCGAAGAACAGCTCCAATTTGGTAATTTTACCAAATAAACGCGATTCTGCTGAATATTCTACTATTTCGAAAACAATATTAAAACCTTAGATTAAAACAAAAAGGGTAGATACGGTACGCTCATACTTGCATCAAACAATAACTGATCCCACGGCAACGCGAACGGGACGGCGAGATCCGCGTCACTGCATTACCGACCCGAACGAAACAGCACGTTAAGTTTCAACGGCAGCGCGAACGAGACGGCGAGATCCGCGTCACTGCACTACCGACCAATCACGCGACCAATACTCGACGTCACTACCGAATAAGATTTAAAACAAAAAGCAATTTTTATGAAAAAATGAATGAAAAGTGATGCCGTGGGTTTTATTTTTAGTTCTTGAGCATTTTGAGCACTTTTTAAAAACACACTTAAGTAGGCATTGTTTTATCATATAAACAAAAAGTATTAGCAATATTTCTTTTTGGCGTTCACATGTACGTCGTTTGCATGTCAAGTTGTGACTAAAGCGATTAGGGTCGTGGACCACAATTGTTTACTTTTGCCAGTTCATTAGGTTGAGTACAAGTTGGTGTTGTTGACGATATCAACGAGTATATCTGGGGAAAAGAATCTATAAAAAAGTCCAACGGGAAGTCAGTATCCGGTTAATCAAACTCGAAGTCGTTTGATGGAATGTCCGCCTGTGTCTGAATTGTACTTTCTTCCATTTACTGTTTTCTTGGTCTTTTTCGCCCGGTAATTTGGCACAGCTGGTAATAGTAGTTTTCTCATATGCCTGGTAGTTCTTGATGCTGATGGAATAGCAATAGACGAAGCATTTGATGACGTAACCGACAATAATAAAGCCAAACTTGGTAAACCATCATAATTCACTTCACCTGTCGGTAGTAGCACATTGTTAATAACAGGAATCAATGGAGGCCGCGCGTGGTTCAAGTTGTCTTCGACTTCTAACACAGGGTTGTTCTCACTGCCATTGACGCTAGGAAGGTCCTCTATCTGGAGATTTTTGTTTACTGTTTCCATAAAACAATCAGTCTATTGAAGTATCTTATGTATAATTTTATGAACTTTGGAATATATTCATACGCTCTATGTACGAATTGATAAAAGGACAGGGTGAGGAAGAAACCTCTTAATTTCTAAGACCAGCAATTTCCTCTTCATTCTCATTTTCCAAACCACTATCTACATCCGAAGGAATATTTTCAGGGGGCACCAATGCTACTAAGCGGTGCCTAGACTTGAAGTTCTAAAAACGAGAATACTGAAGTGTAAAACATTATAACTGCGGATCCCTAAAAATAATATTACGCGTAACACAAAAAATAATTTTCTAATAATACGGCAACGAGAAGAATACTAAACATACGGTTTTGTGTTTAGTTTTTTATTACTTTGACAAGGGGGAGAATACTGGACATAGTATTTAGCAGTTACTTTACTAGAGATTCGATGACGGGGTCATTAAAACTAAACAAAACTAAGTACGATAGTCGAAAGATTTTTAGTAGCTTTCCGGGTGTGTTATCTTTGGTTTTTAATGAAATTACGAAGAAATTAGCCGTAAAACAATGAATAAAATGCAACTTACCGAAAGCCCGCGCAGTGAGTTCTTCCTCCTCGCCATTTCACCGGCGACTGCTCGCGTTCGGTAGATGTAAGCGAGTTGCAATTTTTTAAAAACGTAGTTAGATACTTAGGGTGCAATTAAAGCATCTAGAGTTTTAGATATATGGTCTTTTTTTATGTATTTTTTTTCATTCAACGGGAAGTATACTGCACCTCGTCGAATTAAGGATTAAGACACTTTTTTATATGTTTTTAGGGGCACCTAAAAAAAAGGAATGCTAATGCACTTTTCATTTAGAAGGACCGGTCAATATCTTCGAATCAGTCATGGCAAAATTTGGTGCCGTTGAGGTAAGGATGATCTTTACACATGTTTACACACAAGCTGGACCTACCATGTATGCCAACCCTGCAAGGCATAAATTTATAATGGCGTAATGGTATGTATGTATTATTATTATTAATGAAAAACACAATTATGTAAATAATAAAGATGTCCTTAAGCGCTCAACTTCCCAATTTTAAATTAATGAAACTAGTCTCATCGCTTAACTATATTGTAGATAATTTATTAGCAGGAGGTCGCGGCACCAAGTCGGAGTCAGCGGGAGGTAATTTCCTCACGCTGAGTCAATTAAAACTTGCAACTGATCGCCCACGGCGCTTCCTGCGACCTCGCGCCTAGCACTTCCTGACCCCGACACTTCTCACCGCATTGCCGATACTTATACGACGAGCGAATAATCAAAGATAAGAAGAGAGTCTAGGAGAATTCGCTATATTGAAATAGTTAAGGCTCAGGCGAGGAATCAGCGCAGTAATGAAATCCTCGTGAACAATGCGCGGGCGAATCAATTTGGTGAGTTATTGGCCGCGGCACCCTCAGATCGCTCGGAGGCCTGAGGCATTGTCTTCATGCCTATTGTTCCTCTCTGAGTGCCCGCTGTGATGTCCGCCAGATGTTTTGAAGGGAATTAGTTGCTAGCTCTCACCGGTACTTACCAGTTATTGAGAGGACGAACCACCGTTCAAAGAATAACTGAACTTCTACAATAAGAATCAAGTTTAGCTGTAAATGCTAACAATAGGTTAGTTTACTCATGTCAAATTGCACTATACAAATGTTCATTTCTTTTAATTTTTGGTATGAGGAACCTAAATACATCGATTTCACTTCATAAAATTAGAAGATGGCTGTAGTAATTTAATTTGAAAAATAGTTTTTTAGTCTATACTTTTTAAACACTAAAAACGCTATCAACCATGATTGTGACGTCAACATAATAGCAAAACAACTAAACGTCATTGTCGTGTTACTGTGGTTTCTTTCATCCGACTAAAATATATCTAAAAACTCTTAAATCTTAAAGAAAAGTTTCCGTTTATTGGTTTTCTTGACTAAATTAATGCTGAACGCCGGATTTGTGAAAGCAGAAACGACAAAACTCTTTGACTTAGCAGGTACATTCATAATCTTAAAAATTGAAACCACAACATTTCTGGAGTTTTCAACGATGTGTTTCTTTATTCTCGTATAATACAATCATGATAATTACTATATTTATCATGAAATCTATTAGAAATCATGGTTTTGTAATGTAAATTCAGATAGGTTATATCCTACGTGCTTGTGAATGTTTGTTTACTATTGTTCCCGCCATACCATAGATAATATATAGACTAAAATGAAATCTATTTTAAAATTAAAGTTTTGTAGCTTTGTAAGTAAAAAAAATTACAATACATTTTTTTTTGTCTAATTGAACAATTATTAACCATTTAAAACATATTTCCAAAAAGTGTCAACTAGCCTATTGTAGTGTGTATGATAAAATAATTAATGAGGCAGACTTGAAATAGTAACGTGTCTTATTGGTGCAGTCTGATAAGCGATCTAACATAGAAAGTTACCAATATAATAGACTTAGTGTTGGCATAAGTGTAACACACTTTTTCTTTATTCTTATTATATACCTTTTTCCACTTTATTCCCTCTTCGAATAACAATACATTTAAATACTAAATCTTAATTTAAATAAACATCTAAGATGAACAATAATCTATTAGATAAATTAATATGATATAATTAAAATTCTAAAGATACTCTAAAGTCTAGACGATCTGTCAATCTATATATATAAAACTCAAAGGTGACTGACTGACATAGTGATCTATCAACGCACAGCCCAAACCACTGGACGGATCGGGCTTAAATTTGGCATGCAGGTAGATGTTATGACGTAGGCATTCGCTAAGAAAGGATTTTGTTCAATTCTACCCCCAAGGGGATAAAATAGGGAATGAAAGTTTGTATGAAACTTTGTCAATTTTAAACCGATCGGCCTGAGACTTTGCATGCAGGTATAAGAAGAATCATAGATGAATGTCATTATGTATAATACAAGCCTGAGAATAAAAACTGTAGTCTGCACTTCAGCTCTACACCGAAACGAAGCGAGGGCGGGCCGCTAGTACTGCATAAGATTATTAATGGACAGTTATTACTTAAAACTAGTGGTAGTAAAAGAAAACCTAAACCTTTTCTCTGTGCCCGGTTGCAGCAACAATGTTACTTTTAATGATGCACTGTTTAGAATGTGTCGAATTTTTAATGATAGGGTAAAAGATTTGGATGTGTTTTTACAAAGTTTAAGGTCTTTTATTAAAGCTATAAAAAAAGTTTCATTGTAATTTTCTAAATGTTTAACTTGATCCTGATTGTAATTAAGTTTAAATGGATTCATTAAATACAAAATCAATGCACATAATAATAATAATAAATGTAAGTTTGATTCCATATTCTAGTTAAACGTTGCGTGCAACATTTACTAGGATTACATTTTATTGTGAAACTTAATTTAAGATATTATGTAAATTTATTAAATTGTTTTCTGTAGTTGCACCTTTCAATAAATAAATAAATTGTATTGTGTAAAGGAAATATTGGCTAATGTTGGTTAGAGTGAAAGTATCGAAGAACAGCTCCAATTTGGTAATTTTACCAAATAAACGCGATTCTGCTGAATATTCTACTATTTCGAAAACAATATTAAAACCTTAGATTAAAACAAAAAGGGTAGATACGGTACGCTCATACTTGCATCAAACAATAACTGATCCCACGGCAACGCGAACGGGACGGCGAGATCCGCGTCACTGCATTACCGACCCGAACGAAACAGCACGTTAAGTTTCAACGGCAGCGCGAACGAGACGGCGAGATCCGCGTCACTGCACTACCGACCAATCACGCGACCAATACTCGACGTCACTACCGAATAAGATTTAAAACAAAAAGCAATTTTTATGAAAAAATGAATGAAAAGTGATGCCGTGGGTTTTATTTTTAGTTCTTGAGCATTTTGAGCACTTTTTAAAAACACACTTAAGTAGGCATTGTTTTATCATATAAACAAAAAGTATTAGCAATATTTCTTTTTGGCGTTCACATGTACGTCGTTTGCATGTCAAGTTGTGACTAAAGCGATTAGGGTCGTGGACCACAATTCATGCGGATCACTTTTGTGAGGCTAGTGCCGTATCTACCCTTTTTGTTTTAATCTTAGATTAAAACTCCTAGCCACTCACGGGGAGTTCCAAGTAGAGTAATTGTAATTACATATATTTAATTAGTAAAGTGATTCCTGAAGTCTACCCCACAATTGTGTTCTGGATAGAATCTATTTTACATTTTTTTCCGTTAACCTTTACCGTAGCCTTATTATTTTTTATATTTATTATTTCTTATAGTTATTATTTTTGTAGACTAAAGAAAGTTCAAGTTTACAGCCTAATAAATCATAGTAATCATACAAATTGTGGTGATAAATATATAACTAAACACATAAGTTTTTAGTTATATTGAAAAGTGCATAGTCAAGTTACTATGAGGACGAAATATGTACAAAGAACAGACCCAAGTTTTTAGGGTTCCGTAGCCAAATGGCAAAAACTGGAACCCTTATGGATTCATCATGTCTGTCTGTCTGTCCGTATATATGTCACAACCACTTTTTTCCGAAACTATAAGAGTTACACTGTTGGAACTTTGTAAGTGGATGTATTCTGTGAACCGCATTAAGATTTTCACACAAAAATAGAAAAGAAAACAATAAATTTTTTGGGGTTCCCCATACTTATAACTGAACCTCAAAAATGTTTTTTCATCAAACCCATACGTGTGGGGTATCTATGGATAGGTCTTCAAAAATGATATTGAGGTTTCTAATATCATTATTTTTCAATACTGTACACTTCCAAAGTGGTGAAATATGTGTCCTCCCACTGTAACTTCTAAAATAAGAGAATGATAAAACTAAAAAAAATATAGCATGTACATTACTATGCAAACTTCTACCGGAAATTGGTTTGAACGAGATCTAGTAAGTAGTTTTTTTAATCACTACATAGTATAAAACAAATCGCTTTCTCTGTCCCTATGTCCCTTTGTATGCTTAAATCTTTGAAACTACGCAACGGATTTTGATGCGGTTTTTTTAATAGATAGAGTGATTCAAGAGGAAGGTTTATATGTATAATACATGCATAATATAGTAGAGAAACACTGATAATTTTAGAGGTTTTTAATGTAAGGTCGTAAATAAACACATTTTTTGCGCTTACATTGCAAACGCTGGCTGAACCCCACGAGATAGATCAAAATAATGTACTACAGTATTGTACACCTTAAAAAGGTCTACAAAAAAGGTGGATGGTATATATCTATCTCTTAAAGATAACCCACAATAACCAATTTTTATCCTATACTTTTTACGAGAAATAATAGATTATATACGTAGCGATTTTAAGCAATATAACATTCATCCTTATCCAATTAAGTACCTTAATACATTGTGCATTTAATATAGAACAATTTGGCCCTTTAACGCATATAATTTAAATGAATATTTTCGAAGATATTACAAATTTAAAATTCAGGGACATAGCGGTTCCGACGCTACCGGGCTTGGCGGCGCGTGCCTATTGTAATTGGGTATTAGAAGAATGTCATTGTGTATAATACAAGCCTGAGAACAAAAACTATAGTCTACACTACAG